AAATAAATAAACGTTGAAAAAAAAAATTTATAAAAAAATAAAAATTAAAAAAAAATAAAAAATAAATAAATAAAGGTAAATAACATTTTGGGGTAAACATTAATAATGGAAATATAAAGAATAACATTTGATCTCTATGTGCATTTTTTCAGTAGAACTTTTTAAAAATCAAGTTTATTGTAGCTCAAGAATATCACTGCTGTATATTTCTGATAAATCAAGCAAGTATGAAAACAGGCATTCACATTGCTAGGGCTCCATGTTGGGGCTACTACACTCACGAGCTGTCCCCACCATAGCTCTGGGACCCAGCAGTTGGGAGGAACTTCCCAGGCAGCCTGGGTTTCCTTGTGTCTGTACATCTTGGCAGAACACCGCCTTCAGCCCCCTGTCGCCACGAGTTCCATGTTTGTTTGCGTGGTGGGGACAGGGCTTCCACACCCGGCAGATACGAGGGAGGGCTCCATGGGTCTATGGCCATGTCTCCTCTTGCTGGCCAGATCATGCACGCTGTCAGACCTGTCCTCCCAAGGTCACAAATCTGCTCTGCCTCGGCTTCCTTCTGCTTGGTGTGGAGGTGGGTAAGCCCTCTTTGAGCCCGGGCGAGGTCCCTCCCTGAGCTCACGGGGAGAAGGCTCCAGATACACCCCGCAGGACCGCACTATTTACATCTTGTCACTCCATCTCTCATCCCTAACTCAGTGTATCTTGCTGCCTGGGGGAATGGGAATCTTGACCTCTCTCAGGACTCACCCATGATTTGTCATTCCTCAGGACCTACTTGGGCCCCGTCCCCACACTGTCTCTTGAAGTGTCTCCCAAGAAGTAAAGTAAAATGCCACAGGGAACATGGCTCCATCACACTCTTGGCATCCATGCTTAAAACAGTCATCGTGGCTCTGTGCAAGAGCTTGCCACCTGCCTGACATGAAAGTCACCTGTGGCCTGGCTTTGCGTCTCCCCCCTTCTCCACCCTGGACCTGTGCCTTTGCCCCAGGCTGGTCCAGGCAGAGTGCATATAGCTGCAGGCCAGCCGGGAGGAGCCAGGGGCCTCACACATCTTTGCTTTGGTGTCTGTCCTCAGCAGCATTTGCCCCTTGAACTCACTCACTGCATTGGTCTTTGGGACCTGGCAGCAGGCCACCAAATTCTTAGTTTGGTCTTCTGGGTGCCCCTGAGCTCTCCCTACTCCCCCCATCACCAGCCACTTGGCTGGAGTCACATAAGGGACCAGGTGTATCAGACTCTGGAAGACCAGGATCCTCTTCACCCTTGCGTCCCCAGAACTGGGTCTGGCACATAGGAGCGACTTAACAAGCATTGATGAACTTGAGCTGAATCAGACCAGATTAAACATCCAACCGGTGTCTTGCAGTGCTCTGCCACCTGTGGTAAAGGGACCCAAAAGCGAACTGTGACGTGCACCAACTCGCAAGGAAAATGCGACGCGTCCATGAGGCCGAAAGCAGAGGAGGCGTGCGAGGACTACTCAGGCTGCTACGAGTGGAAAACCGGGGACTGGTCCAAGGTGAGTCCAGCGTGCCTGCGTTTCCACCCTGCAGGAAACTCTAGAAACAGGAGCTCAGATCTCACCACGCGCCTCGATTCAACGAGGCGGTCCCAGTCTACCCAGGCAAGTGCACTTTCTCTCCAAGCTGTGCACCTGCCGGTGACCCCAGGCTGCGTGCAGTCGGAAGGAAACCGAACGCCCCCCCGAAACATGAAGCAGGGTGCTCCGGGTGCCAGTTGGCTGTCCTGTGCTGCGTGCTGGCTGTGCCCCAGCATCCTGCGGGGGACTTGGCCGCCGGCCGTGGCAAAAGCCTTGTGAACACACAGGAGCCTTGGCTGAGGCAAATGTGGAGGGGGCTCATGTGCAAACAACACTTCCATTCACTTCAGGACCCTTGGGTGAGGGCCTGGATGATGCAGGGGCGGATAGGTATGAGCCTTAGGGGTGGCAGAAAGGAAGAGCCTTCTTCCAGAGCCTGGCCTGCACCCCTGGGGGACAGAGAGGCTTAAATAGCACAGGAATGTAAATCCGATATAAAAACTTCTTTCCTGCTTAGCCCTTCTTTTGCTCATTCACCTGGTATCTGTCAACCTGTTACCTCTAAAGCCTGTTTACCAGGGGCTGAGCTAAGTCATCACATGTGAGCCCCAGCCAGTACACCTTCTAGAGAACATTTTCCCAACACCTGTAGAATTTCTTTTTTTTTTTTAAGTTTGTTTATTTTGAGAGAGACAGCGGGAGTGGGGGAGGGGCGGAGAGAGAGGGAGAGAGAATCCCAAGCGGATTCTCACAAAGCTGGGATGGGATGCAGGGATCCATCTCACAAAGCTGCAAGGTGACCACCTGAGCTGAAACCAGAAGTCGGATGCTCAACCGACCGAGCCACCCAGGTGCCCCAACAGCTATAGAATTTCTAGTGACATTTGCTAATGTCGGATTTTCTAAGAAAATTTCTAATGACAGCCTAGAGTGTGTTTGTGTTTCTTTTTGGTCTTAGCAACTGAAAACTCCCTGTTTGTTTCTCTCGATGCCTCTTCACTCCTGGGTTGCACACTGATGGCCCAAGAGCCTCCGGTGTTTGCATGGCCTGCACAATGTCTTAAACATTTTAGAATTAGTTACTAACATTTAAAAACAGGACAATTCCACCTGAAAGTCTGGATATGGGCCCCTGTCTGGAAATCTGGCAACAGGGCAATGTGGCCTGCGTCCTCACGTGGCCACCACGAACTGGGGCCAAGCAGGCCTGGTACCTTCCCCCAGACCCTGGTCCTCCAGCCTCTCTCCAGGCTCCTCCAGCCACTATGCTTTTTGATTTACCTGCCTGGCCCAGGCAGTACCTTTCTTTGGTTTGTGCCTCTGCTTTATGGAAGGAGAGATGCTTTGGCCATTGGAAAGCAAAGCTTCCCCAAATCTGGTACCCAAATGGCCACCTTCCCACAAGTCTGAATACAAACTCCTGCAAATTATTGGAGTGCATAAAAGCCAAATTCCTCCGGTTCCAGTTTGCTGTCTGTGCTGAAATGCAGCATCTGGATAACTGCGAATTTGGGGATGACCAAAAACACCTCCTGTTTATTTACGCCCTGATCGGAAAATCTGACCAGAGCAATAGAACCGAGGCCAGTAGGTCCGGTTTCTCCATGAATGTAAAGCGCTTAGTATGGAGTTGCCAGGCTGAGTCTTATTGGAAGAAGTCTCACTTGAACTTCACTTGAAGGCTCTTGCAAAAAAAAAAAAAAGTGCCATTAGAACCTAGAATCCTGTGAGAAAGACGTCAAGGGGCTGAGTTACAGCTCTGACTCACCACTTAATGTGTCTTAATCTGTCTGGCTCTCAGTCTCTTTATCTCTGAAATGGAGAATCATTAACACTGGCCCTGGCCATTTCGCAGAGACGCTCCGGGCTTTCAAGGTGCTAGTATATGTGACTCGGCACTTGGACATCTCAGCCCGTTTTCCTGCCCCAAACCTATCACCCAGGGCTCACACCATTGTGAGGCACAGGCACCAGCACTAACCCGCTCTGATCTCACCTAACTTTGTCTTATCAGTAGGAGTACCCAGCCTTTTATACAACCATACCCAAAACCGTCTCGTAGCCAAGCATGTCAGACCCAGCTTGACGTAAACAGGCTATCAACAGCTTGGGTTCTAACCAATAAGAAAACATTTGTGGGTGTCCTATGTCAGAACTGTCAGAAGATGTGGAGGGACAACTACCCAACATAGTAAAATAACATCATCTGGACTCCAAAAGTCCAGGTGTGGATTGGAATAAAGCGGTCATTATACTCGGGGAATTGGAAGGGTCCTAGTGGTCACCACCCTAAGTGCATCCTGTGCTACTGATGTGTGGCTTCCATGGTCACAGATATCCCTGCGCAGGAAGCAGAGGGGAGGAGTGGTCAGTTAGGGCCTGGGCTGTGTGCACCCATCAGGGTCTCAGGGCACCTGGCATCGTTTCCCCTTTGAGGTTTACCTCTGTACCTGTGCCCTGCAGCCAGGGTCATTAGCCCTGGTTCACTGAAGAAGCAATAGATGCTCCAAGACTGAGTGGCGTGCCCACACCCCTCTGGCAGAGTCCAAGCTCCTGAACCCCAGTTCAGAGCTCAATCCAACCAGTGGACACAGAACGAGAAGGGCTGCGGAGTCCCCGTGACGGTGCCTTTGAGCCACAGCATGCCCTACACATGTTTGTTGGCTCTCCAGGGCTTAGCTTTCTCCAGCCGTTATAGCCATCTGGTTTTGAGAACCAGAGGGACACTTTTGTTTCCTGAAGTACCATGAGCTTCCTGGCGCTAGGAGCTGCAGAACACCAGAAAATGAATGTGACTAGTGCCTGAGAAGCTTAGCACGACACTGCCCCAGATCTGGTAGCTCAGGCTTTCCCTCCTCCGGTGTTCAGGGGCACTTCCTTGGCTGAGGACGCTGGTATGTGATCCAGCCAACTCCCACACACAGCCCACCAGGTAGAGCCTTTAGTTGGCCTGCTTCTCTAGTAGCCAGACCATGGCGAATAACACCTCCCAGCTTTCTGGAAAGGAAGGCATTAGAAGGCCACCGTGCCCACTTTTTACCACAGCCAGCTTGATCAGTTATCCCTGATCAAGGAAAGTAAAAACAAGAAAGAATAATGGAACGGAATGATCTCGGCTGCCATCCAGAAATCAAGAGTTGGACACTTAACTGACTGAGCCACCCAGTCGCCCCAAGGGTCAGTGCACTTTTAAACCCTCTCCGTTGTAACCAGCCTCCAAACCTCCCCACATTCCAGACTTTGAAGGCTTCACACAAGTTGCCCCAAAGGAAAGTCAATAGAATTTCAAGGGCCGTCAGGGCATCAGTGTGTCTGGAAGCTTTGACATTTTGCATCCAAGCAGTCTCCTGTTACTTGGCCCCACGGGTGCCGTTGAGAAAGATAAGCCGTCTCCAGGGAGGTGAGGGACTGGCCAGTCCACGGACATTCCACAGGTGCCATCCTGCACTCACTGAAATAAGAAGGACCAGTCACCCCCGAGAAGGGGCTGGCACCCATCCCTTCCTGTAGCTGGGTGAGGGTGCCTGAGAACAACACCCAGAACCTGAGGGAGGCAGGGCCTCTCCCCTTCCCCCAGCCTCAGCAAATGACTGAACCGTAACCGGGGTCCCATATGAGGGACAGGCTTCACATTCCCATCCCTGCTGAGGGCATTATTACTGCTCTGCCATGTTTGAAAAATGGCCTGCAGCTGGCTACCCTCCTGGGATATTAGCTATTTCCAGATCTGTGCAAATCATTGTTTTCACCCGCTAACTGCTGGGTATTCAACCCGGGGGGAGGGAGACGTCACTTAAAATGGGAGAGGAGGAAATCGCATTTCTTTCTAGAATAGCATGACTTTTGATCAAAAGTTGAGATGTTTCAGTTTCAAGACCAGAGGCATTAATCACCGCTGAAATGACGGGATGTTTCTAATTAGAAACAAATTATTCTGGAGGGATCATAATGGATGGTGTTTTTAAAGAAAACCGTTGGCTGTCTGTGTTAAGAGTATGGCTGTTCCCTTTCACTGAAGAGATCAAAGTGACCGTTGACTTCCTGGTGCCCTCGAAGGTCCCATGGAAGGGGGCTGGTCTAACTCCAAGGCCTCAGTCAGGCCCCAGGTGTGCCCCTCACACCCGAGCCCCAGACTGATGTGGAAATCACAGCACCTCCCAGGGGCCATAGGAGGTCAAAGGAAGAAATAAGCATGAAGAGGGTGTGAGCTGCAGACCCCCAGGAAGTCCGGGAGAGCCTCTCACTCAGTGGTGGAGGCCTTACTGTGCTTTAGGCAGGGAGATGGGGGTTTCAGCTCCACGGCCTTAGCAATGAACAGACCTTGCATCATGAGAGGGGCTTGTTACGGGAAGTTTTTCAGCCCACACCCCACTTCCAAAGCTTGCACCTGTTTTGGTAGGGTCTGACCCCACTCCCCGCTCTGCAAGGCTGGCCTGCCTGCCAAGCTGGGGGCCGGCAGCCAAGACTCTGGGATTCAGCCAGCATTTCCTGAGCTCCCGTTCTGTGCCAGAAAACCCGCTCTGGGCCCTGGGGGTATGAGAGTGGATAGTGACCCATCCAAAGTACAGACCGACAGGAAGCCAACTGCAGAAGGCCACCCTGAGTCCCACTGGGCCAGTATGAGCACAGTGCTATGGGACCCAGGCAGCCTCTTCCTGGGAAAACTGTGGATGGGGATGCTGGCAGGGGGTGACACTGCTCCTGTTGGGACCAGTGACAGTGGCCCCGACATACACCAGTGCTTTAAAATTTACAAAGCACATTCACTCATATTATCTCATTTGACCCCGTCCTCATTTTACAGATGAGAAAACTGACTCAGAGTGGTGATGTGGCTTTTTTCCCCAAAGTCACACAGCTAGAAAATAGCAGGGCTAAGAGTCTGGTCCCTGCCTTCTGGCTCTTAATTCACCTTTCTTCCAGGTGCATAATAACCTCAGAGGCTTAGATTCCTAACCTGAAACGGGTAGGAGATGACC